GAGTCGCCATGATTCTCCCGCTCCAGACAGACGCAGGTTAAGATCCTCCCTGGTAAGCCAGCTCATGGGCTACACAGAATATTAGAAATGGGTTAGAACAATATGTAAGAGCTAGCCAATAAGAAGCTGGAACTAGCCGGGCCAGGCAGAGTTTGAAAGAATACAGTTTCCGTGTAATTATTTCTGGGTATAAACTAGCCATGTGGGCGGCCGGGTGCCGGGGACGCAGCCCTGCCACCGCTCCTATCTCAACAGATCAGCATGCTGGGGAAAACTTGAAGCTAAGTCATATAGAAGGCAATGTGTAGCAGTACCAGTAGCTATCATCCAAGGAAGAAAACTTATTTCAGTGCCTTTGAGCAAATGGTTGGGGAACTTGATTACAAACTTGTGTTAAATTCTGTAGGCAGGTTAGGGTTTATTTTGAACCAAGAACTCATGGAACCCTTCAAAGCATGGTATTCTCCCTTTGAAGAGAATTAATGGCAAAGTTTGTATCTTTTTCCCCCTTACACATGGATTTTAATAATACGTTTCAAAATTTAGAAGCTTGATTACTAATGGATTTTCCTTTTACTTAACCTAAATATGTATTGTAGCTTAGGAGTAGGATATGAAGGAGATCTACTAATAAATACCCGCAATATAATATGTTGCTTATATTTAAATTATTTGTTTTATGGCTTTAAAAAAATCATTTCATTTAAAAAAATCACATGATACTTCATATTTACTCTGGCTACACTTAGCTGGTCGGTTTATTTGGTTACTCAGCTTTGTTAGTAAAGTATTGGTACTATTTATTTTCATATTTCCATTGTAATATAACATCATACTTTTAAAAAGCTTGCTGAGGTAGAGCTTTGCATATATAATAATAAGTAGGCTGTTGTAGAATGTTATTTTAGGGTGTGTTACACTTGTTTCTTCTCCACAACGTTTGTTTAACTGTGTAGAGATGTACTGCTTTTATTTATGCTGAATTTGTTTAACTGTGAAGATTCTTTGCCTGTCTAAAACACCTGATGATCGAGAAAAGAGCTGAACAGCCAATAGTGAGGCTGGAGAAAGGATAGGCAGGGCTGACAGGCAGAGAGGATAAATAGGAGAAATCTGGAGAGAAAAAAAGGAGCAAGGGAAGATAAGAGAAGGAGGACTCCAGGGACCAGCTGCCCAGCCACACGGCCAGCCACGGAGAAGGAGTGAAAGTAAGATACACAGAAGTACGAAAAGGAAAAAGGCCAGAGGCAAAAGGTAGATGAGATAATTTAAGTTAAGAAAAGTTGGCTAGAAACAAGCTAAACTAAGGCCAGGCACTTATAAATAATATAAGCCTCCGTGTGTGATTTATTTGGGAGCTGAGTGATGGGCCCCCAAAGACAAAGAATAAGAGCAAAGAATTAAAACCCCTAACCAACCATGGTAGGGCAATGGTGGGCTGCATATATAGCAATGGTCCCACATGACACCGCCTAATAATGGTGTAGCCATCCTACTCATCTAAGTGTAATCAACACAATTCACTTGATGAAATCTCCCAGCTACACATTTCTCAGAATATATTCTAGTCATTAAACAGGGCATAACTTCCTGTGACACTATCAACTCATTATGAACTCAGGAAAAGATTTAAAGTCCCGGTAAGTCCTAATTCTTAATAGAGTACACACTATTCCTGTAGCATAATATTATATGACTTTTCCAGTTGTCTGAGGGCAAAGACATTCCTATAGTTGATAATTATCGCCTTCTCTTAGAAAAATAGCAATTTACAGCAAGCTGATAGCCAACATCAAATTAAATGGGGAGAAACTCAAAGCTATTCCACTAAAATCAGGGACAAGACAAGGCTTTCAACTCTCTCCTTATCTGTATAATATAGTACTTGTGGTTCTAGCTACAGCAATAAGGAAACAAAAGGAGATCAAGGGGATACAAGTTGGAAAAGAAGAAGTCAAATTTTCACTATTTGCAGATGATATGCTAGCATACATAAGTGAACCTAGGTATTCTACCAGGGAATTCCTATCGCAGATAAACACCTTCGATAATGTGGCGGGCAAAATTAACTCAAAAAAAAATCACAGAACTCCTATATACAAACAACTAATGGGCCAAGAAAGTAATCAGAGATACATACCTTTTACAAATAGCCACAAATTATGAAATATAAAATATTTGGGAGTAACTATAACTAAACAAGTGAAAGACTTTGTTTGACAAGAACTTTACATCTTTGAAGAAAGAAATTGAAGAAGAGATCAGAAAATGGAAAAATCTCCCATGCACTTATATAGGTAGGATCAACATAATAAAAACGGCAACTTACCAAAAGCAATCTATAAATTACATGCAATTCTCATCAAAATGATAATTTATAGAATGGGAAAATATCTTCACCAGCCCCACATCTGACAGAGGGCTGATCTCCAAAATATTTAAAGAACTCAAGAAACTAGACCTCAAAACACCAAATAATTCAACTAAAAGTGGCGTACATATCTAAACAGAGAAAAACTGTTTAATATTAGTGATTCATAATCTGAATCCTGTATAGTCATAGCAGGAACCAGAAGCTAGGTGAAAATGTGAAGTATCATCAACATGCTAGCGCCATGCATGGCCAGTTTTGCTGTAGAAAACATCTTGAGAAGATATGGTTGCAGTCATGAAGAAGCTACAGATAACTTAATCGAGCTAAGGCATTAAAGCCTAAAGGATGAATGCTAATGGGTCCTGAGTCCAGAGGCTTGTGAACATGAACCAAGACTTTCACTGGTATTGAAGGGGCATCTTGGGTGGACTTGCATGGCTATTTTGCAACTGTCATAGAGATATCTGCTGAAGTCATTGTAAGGTTTCTCACTAAACCTGCCTCTGCTTTTACATGGCACCTAAGTGAAGGCACCTTTCAGAGTGGAAGTCCTGCACCAGAACAGAAAGAGTACAGCTGTATTCTGCTCCAACCACGTTTGCTGGACCACAGGAACGGTGACGGTACTCACACTCCACGAAGTAGGAGCTGGCGTCGATCTTCCAAATGATCTGGCCTCTGTGAGAACCGTTGACTCCACGGTTCTTATAATCCAGAAAGTTTTCAGATGAGACTTCACCTACGGGTGCAGAAGGGAAAAGGAGGGCAGAGAGACACATCAACCGGCAGCATATCCAGGAGCAGCAAAGAAAAGGCACAAAGGATATGAATAGTAACACTTGGGACCACATAGAGAGCTGGGAGTGTTGTAACAACCATCAGAATGGAACATTTGCTTCCACCTAACAATCCTGGCAGATGAATTTACTTGGCTCTTAAACATCTCCATAAACAGAAAGTTACAACCATGGATAATCACTGCAACTGATCTTAAATCATTATTGTTTTGAATGGTCCTTAGTTGTATGAAATCTGTGAAAGTCTTCTTAAAATTTCTGAATTGATCCTTACTTGTGAATGAAGAGACATAGAGAGTCGGTCTGATGTTGCTGCCGTCCAGAGTCTGGCTCACTCTCCCTCTGTCTCTGTCTCTCTGTCTCTCTGTCTCTCTGTCTCTCTGTCTCTCATGGACTCTACCGTATACCATATCTTCTTCATTCTGGCCCTTATAATACTTTCTATTTTTTAATGTATTAAACAGGATTACATGAGGCCATTTTCATACAGATATATGCTCTAAGTGTCCTCCCGTCCACATCTTGTTATTCTCCACACCACCCCTTGTACTAATTTTCTTCATTCCCCAGTTTGTTTGTTTATTTTTACTTTCATGATATAAAGTCTAGGACCCACAACTGAGAGAAAACATGAAAGGTTTGTCTGTCTGAAACTGGCTTAATCTGCTTGCTTATTATGATTATGTCCAATTCTGTGTAAATGACATAGCTTCATCCTTCTTTACGGATAAAGAATATCTGATTGTGTTTGTAGACCACGTTTTCTTAATCCGTTCCTCTGTTGTTGGACACCTAGGTTGGTTCTACAACTTTGCTATTGCTAATAAGGCTGGGATTAGTAAGCACTGGTGTGAAAGTACCTCTGTGATGGGTTGACTTGGACTCCACAATGATAGACCGTGTCATATGAAAGCTCTAGTTTTATAAGGAAGTTTCTTACTGCTTCCTGTGTCTAGAGTAGTTTACATTCTATGAGCAGACTAGTTTCCCATAGTCTGCAGTCTTGACAATATTTGCTATTTGCTTTCTTGATGACTGTCATTCTTAATGAGTGAGGTGTAATCTCAGTGCTTCTTGGATTTGCATTTTTCTGATGGTCAATCATTTCAAACCTCTTTTTTGGGGACTTGTACTGACTTCATCATTTAAGGACTGGATTTTGCTTTTATTAGCCAGTTTATTATTTAGGTTATTTTGGATTTTGGTGTTTGGTTTTATCTTGAATTCTTTGTAGACTATAGAGATTAACCCTCTGTCATATGTATGGTCAGTAAACATTTTCTTTTATTCTCTACTTAGTCTCTTCACTTAATATTTTATCCTTCATTATGTGAATATACAGTTTTTTAAGCACAATTTGTTGAAGATGCTGTCTTTCCTACAGTCAAAATTTCTGGCATCTTTGTAAAAAAATTCAGGTGATATACTTATAAGGTTTTATTTCTTTGTCCTTTATTCTGTCCCTTTTATCTGTGCACCCATTTTAACGCATGCCCTGTACTATGCCGTTTTTTATTACCATAACTCTGTAATGCCACTTAAATCCAGGTATGATTATACCTCCAACACTGCTCTTTGCGTTCATGATTGTTTTGGCTACCAAGAATCTTTTGGGATTCCACATGAAACGTAATGATTGGTTCCTTAACTCTAAATCCAGAACCAGAGGTTTTAGTCTATATCCAGTTACATTTCCACTTGAGAAAGATTTAAGAAGTGGAAATGTAACTGGCAATAGAGTTTAAGATAAGATAAGATATGAGAGGTGATAAGAATTAAGAGAGACAACAGAGGGTAGATAGTATAGATGTTGGGACCTTTAAAAGGCTTTAGATTAAAGGCTTAACCCTTACTTGGTGTTGTTGAAGAATGGAAACTAAGAAATAGAGCCTGGTGAAAGGTCTTCTACTGACTGGGGATGTGCCCTTGAAGGCGATAGTGCAACCCTAGATCCTTCTTCTTTATCTCTTTTTTGCTTTCTTGTCAGAGTGTTCTCCATCATGTTGTGCTGCCTTGCCATAGCTCCCCAAAGCAACTGAACCAACTGATTGTAGACTAAGACCTCTGAAACAGGGAGCCAGAAGTAAGGTGGTTGCCTCAAAACTTTTGCTGTGGTACTAGAAAGCTGACTTGCATGCCCTATGAACATATTTCCTGGTTTGAGCCTTCAAACAATTCCATGGATCCTGGTTTGGATCTTGATCCAGAATCATGAGCAAAAACATGATTTTTTATTTACAAATAGTTCACTATTTGCTGTCGTGTTATTATTAACAGAAAGAAGGGCTTTTGTTTGTTTTCTTTGTTGTAATTTTTGCTACTCCATTTAAAATGCAAGAACACAGAGACAAAAATATCAGAACATGTAATGTTTGAGTGATAATATGTGGGGTGGTGATGTAACTCTGGTATATCATTTCCATAGCAAGTGTGAAACCTTGGCATATTAGTCACTTTTTCATTGCTATTACACAGTATCCAAAATAGGTACTATGAGGAAGGAAGAGATTATTTTGGTTCTCCATTATAAGGTACCGTCATCCACAGTGGTAAGAAAGCCACAGTACCAGAAGCTTGAGGCAGCTGGTCACCATATGTTCAGAGTCAGGAATTAGTGAGCAATGAGTGCTTCTGCTCAATGAATTCTTGCTTTCTCCTTTTTGTTTAGTCTGGAACCCTAGCCCATAGAGAATGACACTCCATAGCTCTTCCCATCTCATAATCTAGATAATCCCTCACAGGTGAGCCCAGATTTTGCTTTCACATTGCGTCTGAATTCTATTGACCTGACCACCAGGATTGCCTACCATAGCTGATGCTCTAGTTTCTTTTCTATTGCTGTGATAAATGCCCTGATCAAACACAATCTGGGGAGGAAGGAGTTTATTTGGCTTACACGTCCAGAAGCAGAGATGACACCAAAAGACATTAAGGCAGGGAGTCAGAGCAAGAACTCAAGGAAGGCACCTGGAGGAAGGAACCATGGAGGAATGCTGTGGTTGCCCTCTGGCTTGCTCCCAGGGTTTTGCTAAGCAAGCTGGATTATATATCCTGCAGAAGATGGTATACTCCACAGGATGTCAGGCTCTCTCATCAATAACCAATCAGGACATTTCCTCACAGATATGGCCGTAGGCCAATCTGACCTGGGAAACCTCTCAATTGAGACTCCTTCAGATGACTAAAGGTCTTATCAAACTGACAATTGAAGCTAACTAGGACACCTGGATTTCATGAAAGAAAATCTCTCTCTCTCTCACACACACACATGCACACACACACACAGTCTCTCACCTATATATAAAACATTGCATACATTTATGTGTATATATGGGTATGTTTTTTTGTGTATCTATCCTCTATGATCTGTCTCCTAACAACATTGAGAAGCAGAGATGACACTTGCTTTGGGAAGCACTGTGTTAACCGAGACATCCCCGCCAGCGCTGTGTTCTTTTGATAACTCATTATAATTACTTCAGTTCTCATGGAACAGGGCCAAATAAGACATGGTTTCAGCATGCATAAGTTTTAATTAGTACAATTACACAAGTGTATATGTGTGCACATACCAAAAAGGTACAAGTCACAGGAGCAGTCTCAAACTATTCAATATAAACAATTTGCTATGACCTTTGATCTCATGCAGGTGGAGCAACTTGTAAGGCTTGAAAGAACATGAATCCCCAGGCTCTTGTTGATTGGTATACTTCATTAACGTAACTTTAGAGAAGATTTTGGGATGTCTCTTGACATGGAATTCTGAATGCATGAATGTACTCTAATAGTTTTAACATACTCAGCAAATTCTAGCATGGAATTGGCATATCATACCATGTCAATGACTATAATTTACTAAAGCTAAGTGAGAAGACAGCTAGCAAATTGACAGCACATTATACCTACTTTATCTATTTGGCTGTTTTCTGTGATTTTAATTGAATTCTTATTTTATATTTAAGCAGTTTAGTAGGTTTTACTTCAGAATCAAAGGAACTGCTACTTTTGAAAAACTGATAATCCTCACAAGTGTTTTAAAATCTTAGTTAGGGGCTCACGAGATGCGCTGGTGAGCTCACGAGGCACTGGTTAGCAAGCTGAAGACACACTTAGTATCACGAGAGAACTGAAAAGGAAGAATGGGACCCCTTCACATTGTTCTCTGGCATCCATGTGGGCTATGGCTCATGCATTCTTATATACAGACACAGACTGAGACCTGGAAACACACACACATGCATGCATGTATGCATGAACACACACACAATAAATAAATAAGCAAACAAATATAATTTTAAGATGCTACATTTTTAAACACTTGGAATATGAAATGAGGATAAAGGAATTTTATAGGTGTTTTCTAAATAACAGCATTTTTAATGGCTAGAGCTATCATTTATACTAATCAAATTACATGTCTCAACCTCAGCAAAAGAGACATAGGTATTACTGAGTTTTAACTATAGATATATAGAGTAATGAACACTTCTCTTATTTGTGAAAGTCATATAGGCACAACTTAACCTATCTACTGGAAGTATCTTTTTTTTTTTTATAACAAAACAACCTTTATTTGCATTTGGACCAAATGATAAACTCCTGCCCATTATCTGACATGTAAAAATCATTCTCCAGTCCATGTTCATTTGGCCAGAAGCTTTTTTTTTTAAATAAGGTACAACTAAAACAGAATGGAAGAATCAAGCTTCAGTTGAATTAGGGTTATTTATCACAATTCATTTATAAAATAAAGTAATTTGACAAAATAAATGAAGAGGAGATATATTGATTACAAAGCAAAACAAAAACCAAACCAAGTCAAATAAATAAACAACCCCCTGAAGCCCACCCCCCTGAAAAGTGCAATATGTTATTAATTACTCACATTAATCCTGAGAAAGAAATTGCAATTTTAATCCATTTTGGAATAACTTGAAATAAGTAACTTGAAGCTTATATGAAAATACCTGGCCGAGGCAATATGCCTATCTACAGGCAGAGTATCATTCTAGACAATGTCTACTTATCGTTGGAACCACATGACCCTCTCCATTCTATCTCCCAGAAGAATCTATTTTATTTATTTATTATCTATTTATTGCTATTATCTATCTTATAATAGCCATTCTGTAAGTAGGAACAACTAAATGCTATAATGCTGTAACAGAAGTAATATTAATGCTTTTAACCCATTGCTAGTTTCCTATGGCCTTGGTTAAGGGCAGCATGGGTAACTTGGTAACAATGTCATTGAGGAGGTCACATCGCCTTCTGTGTATAGATTTCTTCACCTTCTTACAGAAGAGGAAAATGGCATTTGGCTGAAAAAGTCTGGAGGTCATACAATGCCAAAAGGCATCATAATTTTGGCTCTACTTGGGCATTGCTCTGCTCTTCTGATGTAGAACAACACATTCCTGATGCTGTTCAAAACACCAACATATTTCCATGGTCAATGCGAACTCTAGGAGAGGCAACTTCATGGCTATGGAGGCCTGCACTGCATCTCTTCACATGGAGTCACAGGTCAGGTTAAACAAGCACACCCATCCTTAACTTTCTAGGTCTAGTTCTATGACTTGAGTCTTAGAACTCAAGGTGAGACAAGGCACCTCCACTCTGGAAGGCGAGTTACTAAGGACTCATGAATTACACACTTCTAAGATTTGCAGATAATTTTGGATTTGGAAACTATATTTGAAGTATGATTCTATTTAAAGTATTGCTATTCAATATTAAATAACATTGCTGTTATATTATGTAGCTGCTATGACAACAAAATTGTCAGATTAACTATCTAAAATGATGAGTTATGGTTATTTTGGCTCAGTCAAAAAATGTCATGTTAACACCAAATCTTATTCATTCAAAGTATTACGAAACTCAATATGGCCAACAGTCTCTTTTTCTCCTAACACCCCTTTCTCTTCTCTGTAGGATGAGTTTCTAGCCACCTTCTTTACCACCTCCTTCGTCTTCCTGTTGCCTTTCCCTCTTCCCTTATATTTGTCCCTTGCTCTGGTAGAGACCTTCTAGTGCTTTTTTTCTTACACATAATCTGTAATTGACCTTGTATACTCACAGGGTACCAAGAATCACACTTTGACAAACTCTAGTATGGACCTATATGGTTGAGGTACAGAGGCAGGAGGCAGGAATTGAAGCACAGACCACAGATGAATGCTCCTTAATGACATGTGCCCATGGCTTACTCAGACTGGTTTTTTATACCACCCAGGATCACCTGCCCAGGGATAACTTCACCCACAGTGGGTTGTACCCTTAGACTTCAATCATTAACCAAGAAAATGTCCCATAGACACACACCCAGGACAATCTGATGAACACAATCCCACACTTGAGATCCTTCTTCCCAGGTAGCTCTAGCGTGTCAACTGGACTAAAACTGACCAGCACATTTGTTCCCATGTGTTTCACATTCAGTAAGTTTCCTGCTGAGCCCTTTGTCTTCTTTTTTAACAGACCCATCTTCCATTTTTGCCTTAACTTGAGAAATGGCATCAGTGTTCACAGACCGAGGGAAGACACTCCTATAAAGAGTTGGTTTAAAATTACATGATTGTGTATGCACACAGGCAGCAAACAATTCCAAGAGATAAACCACATTCCCAGCTGAAGCAGAGGTAGGTGGGAGGAGGATTGTAGCGAAACTCAAGGTTCGGACTATTTAACAAACACTTAATTCTAGTTAATTAGATCCCTATTGGCTTTACAAAGTCTCCCCAAATGGTGTCTTTTGTCAAGACATCAAAAATAGGACTTCAAAGTGAAATATCTGCGTGTTTAGTGGATTAAAAGTGTATGCTTGATGGGCTTTTGTTATTTTTTTCAATCTCTATTACAGATAGATATTTGATTTAGTTATTTTATTTGAAAACTTAATTTTAAAACTTATTAAATTTTCCTGGTCAGAAGTCAAATTTATCTAGTAACTACTACTTGTTTAAAAACATCAAAATGTATTTTGCCATTTTTGTCATACACACACATACAAATATACTATATAGATCTTCAAGAGAGCAAAAATATTTTTCTGACTAATGGGTTCCTGAGTAACTAGTCAGACAAAATATTTTATCAGAACTAATATATTATTAAACTAATATTTATCAGACTAATCATTTCCTGACTAATTAGTCAGATATATATTTTGTCAGAAATATTGATGAGCCGGGTTATGAACTGCTCATCATATGCATTGTTTAATTGTATAGCCAGCAATATTAAACCTGGTGGTGTGTGTGGAATGTGTGAGAGGAAACTGTAGAGATGGAAGGCAGAAAGTTTGGAGGGTCTGTTAACATTTGGAGTACCCCCAAATTTTACACTGGTCTATGGATAATCATGTCAATTTGCTACACACTGATTCTATCATATGAAATAGAGGAAATACCTATTTTTATGTAATTTATTATATTTTCATGTTTGTAATGTTTATTTTTCGGAAAAAAATGTTGATAATTTTATTAAATAGTTGCCACAATATCCAATATATAAGCATGGTTTGATTTGTTTGAACATATTTGAGGAAATTTCCATATGACTGAATATACAATTCCATCATGTGTTTTGAATATAAAGTTGGGATGCTGAAGGAGCTGGAGAAAAGATTGATGGGAGAAAAATGTTAAAATTACTTGTTCAGAGGTAAGAGTCCATTGTCTGGGCACAGTGTGTACCCTACAGACATGAGGATTTAAAGTGGGTTTTGGCTGTTCACTTAGGAACAGGAGGAGGAGTTCCTCGAGCTGCAAATAATATTTATTTTTAATCATGTTTTCTCCTGGCAGTTCATGATTTTCTCCTACTAAAAAGACATGTAATAGTAGCTTTATTGTATTTCTTTAAAAAGCAAGCACTGTTTGACTATAGTATAACTGCTATACTATACTATACTATACTATACTATACTATACTATACTATACTATACTATGTTTGACTATAGTATAACTGCTGACTGTGCATTTTAATCCCGCTATGGAGCGAGAGAAGGAGAAATAGTTTCCCCCATGGAAGAGCACACCTATTGGTTGTCCAATACTAAATTATCAGCCCTGAAAACATCCATTTAAGTAACATTACACAGACTGAGAAGGTCGTATTCAGAAATACATATATATTCACATATACATATACATACACATACACATAATGTGACATAATGTGTCACATTATATATTATATTATATATTATTTATAATGTGTTTATATGCATGTATAAACACATGTATGCATTTAACAACCACAAAAAAGAAGAGGCCATGAATTTCAAGGATCAAGATGGGTACACAGGAGGGCTTGGAAGGAGGAAAAAGAAGGGGAAATTATGTAATTACATCATCTCAAAAAATAGAAAAAATGAATTATGAATAAGATTCTTTTTGAATTATCAAACCACACACATAAAACCTTCCTTTTCATGGCACACTGCCTGCCTGCCCAGGTGAGTCGGTAGCTCAATGAGTAGAGTCATGTGTGCAAAGTACTCACCAATAAGGTACATGCCAATCCAGTCTCCAGCATCCACTTCTTCCTTGATGTCCCAGTGAATCACCAAATCCTGGGAGTGCCCTATAGAATAGTAAGAGCTGCTGACCATGAGCGTAGAGCGGCTGTCTGAAGTGACCAGGTCAGTATCACTGGTAGAACGAGGGATGGTGATGCCATCATGCGCGCCATTTCTGATGTCTATGTTGTGGAACTGGTCTGGGTTATAGCTGTAGCGGAGGGGCTCTTTACACCGGCGTCGGCTCTGGGAGTTTCTAGATGGAGACGCCATGGCAGCCAGGCCTAAAAACCTGTTCTGGTACAGATTCTGTAGAAGAAAGGAGATATTGGATAGGGTCACGAGAAACCAGGAACTCTTGTCACGTCTTGATAGACATCAAAAGATCTGTTGAAAAAAATCAACTCCGAGGGAGCAGCCCTCGGAGGGTTGTGACTGATGACGTACAGCATCTTTTTCAGGCCAAGGGCCTTCCCTCTGCATTCACACAGGAACAAGAACAAAGACACAAGGGAACTCTGTTCACGCCCTCCTGGAACTTCGGCATCCCCAGTCCCTTCAGTCTAATTGATCCTAGAAGGAGTGGACTGCAGGGAGACGCCCTGCTCCCAAAGATGCACCACTTCCTGAGTTCTCGAACATCAGTTCAATTGATTTAATTTTTAAAATCCTTTTTAGGATAAATTATGGTTAGTCATTCTTGACGTATCCAATCTCCTCACACAGTCCAGAATGGTTGCTGGATGAGATAGTCATTCTCCCCCCCCTTTTTTTTAACACCTTGACTCTATGTTTCTGGGCCCTCTGAAATGTTTATTAAAGATTTCTTATTTTAGTAATTCTTGAACATCGTAGTTGTTGATCAGATCTAATCTCAGAGGGCTATTTTCATTCAACTGTTACTGTAGAAAACACTGCAGTTGCTTTTAAACACTTTTGTTAGTGTTTAAAATTAGCTGACCTGGAAGGTTGCCATCACACAGAACTTGAGCGGGAGTCACTTTTGAAACAAACAAGGGTGACTCCGACTTCACTGATGAATACTAAGATTGGATAAGATTTTGAGGATATCGGCTTTAAAAGGTCCATGTTCTATCACCAATATTATTCTTGTTTTCACAAAAGAGAAAGGTCCAGCAAAAGCATTGACTCATGCTATTAAGACTCCAGGGACTGTACCTTATTATACATACTGATTAAGTGAAAGCTAATGCTATTTTGTCTTCCAAACATAAAGACCAGACCCTAGTGCATTCTGCCATTTAAATTATATGGATCTTCAGGTTACACACTCCATTTAAATGCTCCAATAACATCATCTAATATGGAGATTGAAACTACATGGATTTAAATGAACATCGGAATGTGTACCTATGAGTTAGACCAAACAATGATCACAGACAGTACAGCTACTTCTGGCTTTCCAGCTGTGTTATCTCTTGACCACTAGCCTGATAACACTTCACATGACCCCATAGTACTGATAATTAAATTCATCCTGTTCATGATCTTCCAGATTTCCACAGAGAATTAAAATTATAAGCATGCGCATCAATTTTTCAGGACTGAGGCTTTTTTTAAAATAAGGTTTGATATTGGGGAGGATATTTTTGTTGAGGAAGCTTAGGATTTTATGGCTTTTTTTGCTTGAATTTGTAATAATTTTCTTCTTTTCACATGTGTGTGCATGCATATTGCATGTACATACATGTCTGCATGTATCTGACTGCATTTGTGATCAGGTGTGTGCATACGTGTGCATGCATGGATGCGGAGGCGGAGTGCTTGTGTTGGTAATCTTCCTGGATTACTCTTCCACTTTACTCATATCTGGGTCTATCAATCAAACCCAGAGCTTGCCAATATGGCCAATTTGCTCCAAGATTGCCTAGCTTTGCCTTCAGAAGTTGAAATATAAACAAGCCATGTTAGGTGCTTTCTGAAGATTTGAACTCTGGTCCTCTTTCTTGCATGGCAACCACGTTAGCTGCTGAACAACCTCTTCAGACCAGAGAAGGTTATGTGTGTTTATTTTGATTAATTAGTTAATTAATTTTTACTGCAGACACTAGGGGTCAGTTATATTTCTGACAGGAAGACAGATAAAGAAAGGGACTGTAGATGATTAAAAGGACAAATTCCGTCTTCTTCACCCTCCTGACGTAGAAAAACACCTGGTGGGCTTCTTCCTCTTTCAGAAGTGCCCTCTTCTGGCTGACCTGCCCAGCCTTGGTCACACATGTTCAAAGCTAGTCTTGAACTTGGCCACCTGAAACTGTGTGTTTATCAGCTCCCCTTTCTTTGTTTACATGGACCTGTCCAAAATTAGGGGAGGAGGCACTGTCCCAAACCACCAAAATCATCAAAAATCTGCAGGCCTCCTGGAGAAAAATGGATTTCAGTTTTAAGTCCCCTCCCTGCTCTTCCAGGAGTCTTCCTCTACATGCCGTGTGTGTGTGTGTGTGTGTGTGTGTGTGTGTCTGTGTGTGTGTATTCACTTGTCATAAGGCTTGTTAATGTTGTTGTCAGCTGTGTGAGATTTTCCCGCTGTTTCATTCTTTACCTGGCAGAGAAAAGAAACCAGATCAAGAGTACTACCAGATGGCAACATTTCCACAGGAATGCCAAGCAGGCCCTCCAAAGAATTTAAGTGTTTCTCTTTTGTTATAGATGTAAACTCTGCTAACATTTTACAGAATTCTTTGAAGGATCAGCATTTCTCTTGCAACTGTCAAATTACACCAGCAATAGTGGTTTACATGGCAAGAGCAAAGACATGGATGGAAACATTAACAAAGTGAGGTCTTTGCTGGTTAATACCTAGTGGCAATATGGTGTTTGCCTGTAGTAAGAGAAACCACCTAAAGATGGTTCTAGAAGACTATACTCTCCCATCCACTCACCCAGGCTTTTCCATCATCCAGTGTGGATTTAGTGCAATATATGGCAAACCCCTAGTGTTATAAACATGGAAGGCCATACAAGTGGCTTTTGGTACTAATTCATTCACACTGCAGACAGGATATACACCACTTTAGGGGTAAACACTGGCTCAAAATCTGCTATATTATCCCTTTGCATCTTCTTCCATTTTCAAGGGGGTGAGTGGGCTCCCTAGTCAGGGATCCCGGTCTCCGGCAAACACTCCTATCATCACAGTGTTAGTTGGCTTGTCATACTGCCCTGTCCTGTACGGCTCTAGCCTCTTTATAGCTCCTATGCCTGGTGTAATAACTACTTTGTGCTTATTTTAGCCTTTAAAATTTTAGTTAAAATTTTACTTTAATCACAACATCTTTTCTTGTGACAGAAATGGCTTATTATGCCTTATAAAATTAAAATTCAGAGAAGGAAAAGAAAGAGACAATAAGTTGTATACGAAAGAGACTAAACATAAAACTGTATTCCATCATGTTCTAAATAGGTGTTTTCTAATTAAAGATTCACAATAATTGATTCATTGTAGTCGCAATTTCCTGTTTTATGGACCTGTAGTTGGCAGAATCCTGTGAGTTGACTGTATATAAGGCTATTATTTGACATATATGACTTTTGCTTCACCTAGTTCTACTCTTTTAAATACCGTTCACTTCACCAGGTTAGCCTCTCAAACCTTGGTCTGTGATAAAGGCACTGTAGGGGTTACTTCTTGACTGCAGTACAGGAATAGCACTGACGGGCTAACGTGGGATTCTTTTGTGATCGGGCTTTTCCGAGCCATTCACAACTGTTCCCAGAATACTATCGACGGACGGGGCTGAAAGAGGCAACGCAATCATCATTCATTTCTAACGTGTGGGGAACAGATGGAGATCTACCCTGTTTTGAGATGGCCATGGATAAAGACCACATACTGCCTGAAGCATTATGCCACTGTCTGACAACCCTGGACTCCTGCCTAATCTCTATGGAAACATATCCTCTGACGTGTAAGCTTTTGATTTACTTTCTGAGGAGGGAAAGCCCGATCCCCGAATGAGCAAGAATCAGGCAGAACTAAATTGCTCCTAGACTTTTCTCCGTTGTACCAAAGAATTCATCTTTGTTGATAAGCAAAATCAAACACTAACAAGATTATAAGAACATATTAGTTTTCCAACCAGTAGATAGTTGCCAGTTTGGTACTAGGTTAAACACATATTTTTTAATTGACTCTTGACAAAACAGAACTGATAAAAATAGTCTAGATATATTTTAGATTGTTTAGATTTTTCTCACTATTATTTACCACACTTGATGTAGTAATTGCATCAGTCAAAACAAAGCTTTCCGAAAGGAGATGGGAAATTAAAGCAGAAATACATGCCATCTAGAGAGAGCATATTATGTGTCAATATTTTTAACAAGAGGCTCCACTCTTGTTGGTTGCTGAGAATCAAAAATAGATTCTCAGTTTCTGGAACATTAGGCTGTGAGTTAGTGCCATCTCTTGGAAAAAATAGCAGAACAAAACACAGAGAAAAAATTATTTTTAAAATGTCTCTAAAATATTAAAAATCGTAAGAGGAAAAGAAATAATGAAAAAAAAAAGAAATAATGAAAGAAACATCATTGAAGTTTACAAGATGGGATTACTCAGTTGTGGGAAAGAGAAAGACAGGTTTTTATTTTTAAAGTGGAGGCCATCTTACCCAAGGAGAGTCCTGGAACATTTCCATACTATGCCCAGTATTCATCATGCCTCTGAAGTTGGGGGGAGGGGTTACGAAAACTTAAAAGCAAAACTTGCTTATTTCTATCAAGGAATCCAGAAAATTCAAACAAAAGAAATGTACATAATGTCTGCGTGAGATGGAAGAAGAATCAGAATAAACAAAAGCAAATATATAAATAAAATAAATAAAAAGCTTCTATTCCAAGAGGAGAGAAGGCTGAAGCCCCATCAGAACTAACAAAGTTGTAACTGGGCACTTGAAGGTGCAAAGAAGATGGGCACAGAGAAAAGAAGCCAAGGTTTTACCACATGGGTCCCTGTTAGGAGAGAGAAAGCAAATGTCTCCCAGGAAAGGTAGCCCAGATGGCTGGAAAGAGACTGACTGGCAGCCCTACCCTTCACACAGGCAAAGCTCACCAGGCTCAAATGCACTTGCAGGTTCTGATAAGACAGTGTTACATTTTATCTCTTCAGGTATAAAGGACAAATGCCATCTTAAAGGAAAACATATTTTTGAAATGGAGCAATACTAGGGACCCAAGAACAACTACCTGATTTAATTCTTCTCTATTCCCAAGGTAAGAGGCAGCCTTGGCAGGATTTTGTACAGTGGGGGAAAAGGAGGGATAAAGCAAAACACAAGCAGCAGGTGGCT